GCTCTGCTTTGGTGCTTGCGAAAAGAAATGCCCCAGATCCGGATGAAATCCTTAACCTAATGCTACATCTATCTGAAACAGCCTTGCAATTCCTCCTCCGGCACCACAATCGTATCTGGGAAGAGTACACCATCCCTGCTATATCGTGAGAACCGATCATCCAGTTTTCGAAGAAGGGAAAGATCGGTCATTGCGATAAAGCTGTCGACCAATTTCTCTCTCAAACTGTATGCTGGAATGTATGGTGAATCAGCGTTGGTCTGGACCTAGTGTTGACGCCAATTCAAAGCTGATTTAGAAGAAACCGTTCAACCTTGCACCACCTCATTGCGTTGGCAACAGCGGTCTCTACATCGTCTTGAGAGATTTTGTGGTCATACTATTCGACAGAGAAAGCCTACCACACCACTTGAATGTATGGCATGCTGTGAACCCTGCACTCCTGGCCATTTAGGGGGAAGTTCCCTCTAACCTTCCAGAACTTCCTCTCGATCAGGTACTTCCACGTTCATATTAGGCCTTTAGGATCGGCTCTGAATGTCACTTTGTTTGCCATCGGCATAAACGGTATAGCGTCGACCACGCGAGAATATGATAATAAAGGCGTCGCTAATTGTGTGTGACTTTGCTCTGTGATTCAGAGGCATCTTCAACGGGAGTAGAACAAACTCCACAAATGGAGCATGTCAACAGAGTTCTATTTCTCCCCTATTAAGTTTACTGGTGTGTATTTCTTCAGGATTTACCACTTGCATTGCAATCCAATAATTTACTTGGAAGGAAATCAGCTTTCATTTGCTGAATCTGCTAGGTTCATGGGGCTTACATTTGACAAATCCATCACGTGGCGTGCTCATATCCACAGTCTAAAAACCAGGTGTCTCACTTCTTAGTTTTCGTATGCTGAGTGGTGTGTCGTGGGGAGCCGATATCATTATCCTATTACGGTTACAGAGCGCACTTAGTTTTGGATTATGATAATGAAGGGGTTTCGGGGCTCCCACTACCCTTCGACGCATCAACAGCATACACCACGCTGGTATCCGCCTCTCAACCGGTGGAGTGGAGTGCCTTCTAGATGAGGCCGGGGAGCCAGGTATTAGATTGTGAAATCTTTTTGCTGGACCTTAATGCCTGCCTTCAAACTTCTTTAAAACCCCCAAGTGACTCCATTCCCCCTTGTAAAGTCCCCCGCCCTATTCACCCCAGACACTCCACTCTTTCCAAACAAACTACTAGACCTCTTGTTTACCCAGATGCAGTTTCAGGAAATGAGGGAAGCCTATCCGGATCATAGTATATTATACGCGAATGGTTCGTGGTATATTGTAGTGGCATGTACTCGTAGTTTTTATTGTATCGTAGTCACCAAATCATATCGACTTCGTTTTCAATTCAGTATATTCACTGCAGAAATGTATGCAGTTCTCAAAGCCCTAAAATACATCAAGTCAGGGACATAGCGGTGAGGTCTCTGTTCTTATTCTCTGCTCTCTTCAAGCTGTCTCCCGTTCTTCAAGCTACCTGACGAAATTAGTTCAAACCCCGATTCATCGTCTGTGGTCTCACCACTATGATCTGGAATTCAGTTGGGCCTCATGCCATGTTAAATCACAAGGAATTATATGGCTGACCAGGCGGTGAAATCGTCGACGCGGAAGACTCATTTTAATGTTTGATCTGTACCATCGTCCGATGTTAAGGCATGTCTTTAGAGTGAGGCTTACATATTGGCACAATACCATTTTTAAACTAAGTGTAATAAAGGATTCTGTTAATACCCGGCGTTCCTCATCCCGATCTTCTAAGCCCGAGGAAATCATTTTAACCCTTCGTTTTGGGCACTGCCACTTTTCCGCTAGTTTCCTTCTTCGAGGCAAACCTCCTCCCTTCTACGACTCGTAATAGACGGTTCTGTCTGCGGAACTTGTCGTCCTGCGTTGTCCGAAACTGGTTTTCAATCAACAAAGACATGGCTTGGCCAACTCTATACGGGAGGTGCTCGGCGATGACGACTCCGCGCTCTCAAAGTGGGTTATTTTGTTGTCGTTTTATTATTTTTTTAAATTTTTTTTAGAGAAAGCAAACTATTTAATTTTATTTGATAAATAAGAACAAGGTTTTATTTAAGTTTATTGGAACATTACAGCCAGTTCTACGTTTATGGTAAATATTACGTATTCGTTTCATCTTTTACTTTCGCCTTATGTACTTGTACTCGTATATTTTATGCAGAATTCAAGCCCTCATTTTTGGTTATGTAAATGCTTTTAATCAGTGGGAAAGTCGCTTCTCCAACATCTTTACATCTATTTCATTTTTTACTTTCTCGCGCTTACTAACGCAAGAAAAGTACTGTATCCTTGCGCCGGAAAACGAATTTCCGACACCATTTTTTTTCTTGCCGGGTCCTGGTAAAGAAAAATAGATAACGCCAGTTGCTAAATCTAGAAAAAAATCCTCTACCACGTGGTGTAGCCAGAATCCATGTTTTGTGCGTCCTTGATTCAGAAAAATCGAATGACGGCAAAACATCTGTCCGTCTATTGCACGTTAGCACATAAGCCGTTCAACCGATTTTCTCCAAAATTAATATTTCCCAATCGATCTACCCGGTGTCACGCTTCCCGGAATTAGAAACGGATATTTTAATATTGGGGGTACTTTACATGAAGCTCGTAGGACAATTTCAAAATTGTCTAAAAAATGACTCCAAATTTTTGGATGAAGTGTTGTTGGATAGTGCAACGGACATTTTAGAGAATGGTGCAGGTCTCCTGTTCGTTAAAATGCCTGATTTTTTCCAAAATTACAAAAATTCATTTTTTGGGCATCGTCCTACCATTTTAATATATATTTTTTCGAAATGAAACCCGTTCATTAAAGACAAATTTTGAAATGAAGTCCTGCTCAACTTTTCGAAAATTAGTCATTTTCGTGTACTTTTGTGCGAAATTACAAAAATTAAAGGGCAAGTAAAAAAATCCAAAACCGCTCCAAATGTTTTCTTTAAAGCTTCTATACGTATGCGATATTGTACGGGAAAAAATAAGGTGCTGGTCCCTTATTCGGGTATCGCTCGGTTTTTCGAAAATGGCCACAAAAATATTACAACTATAAAATTGAAGGTAGATATGTTTGCCTCAAAATTTGTTGTACAAAATTAGTCTTTTAAATAAGGAACAATTTTTTTGAAAACTAGTGATTTTTGTGCATTTTGCGATTGAAATTGACGCATTTTTTCTCAAAAATTGCTCAGAATTGTTTCTTTAAATTTTCTCCGTGCATGTAATAAGGGCGGTAAAAAATATGGTGCTAGTCCCATTTTCAGGTACTGCTCGTTTTTTGTTTTTGTTTTTTTTTTTCGTTTGAAATTTGTAACAAAAAAATTAGAAACCACAAAATTGAAGATTGTGATTTTTGCTTGAGACAGTCTATTCAAAAAATCAGCTCGTTGATAAGGTCATGATACCGAAAAATCGAATGATGCAACGCTACCGACTAAATAATTCAGACGATTTTCTCCAAAATTTATATTCCCTTATCAATCTGGCTGATGTCGCGGCCCCTGGATTTTGAAACCGACATTTTTTGGAGGGGGGAGGTACTTTACTCGGGACATTTTTCAAATTAAAAAAATGGCTCGATTTTTTATTAAATTTTGCTGTTTGATATTGTGAAGAAGGTTTAAGAGAGTGGTGCAGGTCTCATGTTCGTTGAAAACCATTTTTTTTTCGAAAATTGCTTAAGTTCAAAATTTTTTTGGAGCCATCTTACAAATAAAGTATTAAGATTGAGTTTTTTTCTTAATGAAATCTGCTCCTTAAAGATAGATTCGCTTTTGGGGTAAACATTTTGCGAGTTGAAAATTAAACAAGAGTTCCCAGAACTTCAGGATTTTATATTTTCACATAAGAGATACATTTTTTTTCGACTGCCTAATGTTAAGGGTTCATTGTACTATTTGAAATGTTTATTATATTAGATAAGTATGGCCACAGATGCTGGTTTATAAAAATTTTTGAAATAAACAAGTGAATCACATCATTATCAACTTTAATGTTTTTCTTACCTGCGCTTTGTTTAAGGGGGTGCCAATATATTATGTGGTAATAAATTAACCTAATATTACAAACTGCAGAACATTAAAATAAAATAAAAAAGAAGAAGAAGAAGAAAAAAAAAAGAAACGAAAGAAATTGCAGTAATTTAATTAGTTTATTAGTATTGGAATTATTTGTCATCTGTGTATGATGTACTATGATTAACCCATTATACAAGTTGAAATCTGGATACAGATGAAAATAAGCATTTTTGTCAAAACTTGATATCATTCACCAAGTGAATGCACATAGTTTTGACAATATTGCACTGGCAATGTGCATTGCTTGCTTCTGAATAATTTGCTGCGAATACTGTAAGATTCAAATGTTTTCCTGTTTATTTCATTTGTCAAAGTAAGAAATATTCTCTGCTCCTGACTATCGAAATGAATGCATTATGAGGTGCATTACAGACACTTTGTTTGAATTGATGTTTTTGAGAAATAGTTGAGGTGTTAGTAGTGCACATAATGCAATATTTCAATATTTCATATGGCTGTTTCCAATGCAAGACAGTATGTGCTGTTGTAGCTCGAATTCAAACTACTTCGGCATGGGTGCCAGTACCTCAGTTGTTGAGGCTTACTTGAAATTGTAAACCCCAATCAATCAATCAATCAATCAATCAATCAATCAATCATGTAGAAAACCAACTGTGCTTAATGCATTTTATTTCTCAAAATTAAATTTCAGCTTTCATACGAAGTACAGATAATGAAATTCAAATGTCTATATACTAAAGCAATTCAATGAAAATTGTGTGGAATAGCTCAGGTGTAACTTACAGCAACCTGACCTATTCATTGCCTGTAAAAATCTTCACATGTTATCACCTCTTTTATCCCTATATAATAATTATGAAAATTTCATGTTTTTTTGTTTGTTTTTGCCTTTTAGGTAGATTTGTACTTGCGAATGCTAGTGGTGGAGATTGCAGCTATTCAGGGGCAGATGGCAGGCAGCAGTGGGCCTGGGGACTCACGAGTAGCTGATAAGTTGGGTGTGGGTGTGGATGCCACGCTGGTGGGCTCTTTCTTCCCATTCAGTCGGTCGGGAGGGGCTGCGACTGCACAGTCCCAGCTGTTTAACAGCTTCCCGGGAGAGCATGCACCGGACTCCCTGTCATTGCAAAATGCTCCAGATTGACATCAATTTTCAATGGTTAGTACTTCTTCAGTACATAAGGGTGATTAGGTACAGTTACTAGGTCTTGGGGTGGCTGCCAGAAGTGCCCTGATTCAGAAAAATTGTATGGGCTAGGTTCTCATTGATTGTCAATAAACTTTTTATTGTTGCATTTGTGATGGTTTTGTGATGTGTATTATTATCATCAAAAAGTCATTATTCAGTTTTATCCTGGGGATATTAAGGAGGATAGGTGTATCTATTTATTTATTTATTTATTTATTTATTTATATGCAGACATGGCAAAACAAAAGCTGCGATAAAGTATGACATTAATAACAATTAATCTTTATGAAACAGATAGTTACGTCAACATAAAACCATTTTTCACTCATTTACAAAATTGTATTTTTAAAGACATGTGAAAGAGATGCTTCTGACACTCCTGGAGGAAAGTCTCAGAAGTCAATCACCTTTTTTACAAGTAGTATGACATGGAAGAATTTTGAATTTAGACTTCTTAGCATGGCCCCAGAGATACAGATAATTTGTGGTGAGCATCATTGGAAAATCCACAAAAAAAAAAAAAATTAAAACAATAAATTAATGTCTGCTCACTTTCTCATGATATTGTATGACAAATTGTCCTCTTGTGCAATTTTCTAAATCTATGCCTCTTCAGAAGCTTCCCCTTTTGGTTAGTTATGAAATTTGAATTGACAAACCATTAATTCAAAAGCTGATTGAGGTACAACCACAATCAACCATATTACAATTTTAAGCTTGATCATTTTAAACATACACTTAAAGTCTCTTTCTCTCTCTTAGTCACAAATCTAACATAAGAGCAACCATTAATTCCTACATTTTTTTTTAAAAAACAAAAATCACGATTCACAGAATCAGTCTTTAGCGAAATTTGTGCACATGTCTACTTGTGAATCCTTTTCCAGAACCAAAATGTCAAAGGCTATGTGTAGTAGATCTTTAGATTTTGCTCATCAATGTATCAGCATTAAGCATCCTCAATATAATACAAATGATTATTGATTCTAGTATTTAAGGGATTCAATTTTGTTTTGTTTTTTCTGCATTGTTTAATATTACTCCTGTATATATATGTCCTGATTTGCTGATAGGAAATAACAGATTAGATTGTTCTTTCCAAGCTTTTCTAATGAGATAAATATTGGTTTGTTTTTCAGATGTAAGATGCCATTTCTGAAGAAATTTTGTTAAGATGGTAATAAAGAGCAAACAATCACTCATATTGCTCTAAATATGACCCATCATATTTATGTATATATGCACATAGTGTTCATCTGATTTTAAATAATTTGTTCATTGTTATTTATACGTGTAGTTGTAAAAAGCATCAGTCCACTATTAATATCTTTGTTGATGTAGATTGCCAAGAGATGCAAGTATTTTTACATAAAATTGATGACTCGGGAAAGGTTAGTGAAATGTTTACGAAGATGTTATTTCAGTATGCAGGTTATAAATATATTTTAGCATTTAATTGTTATAATTGTAGTTCATTGAAGTATATTAAAGCAAATGAATATATGACATGGAAAAAAAAGTTAAAATCTAATTTCGGAATGACAGAGCCAAATTGTAACAGATGCATATGGGAATTTTGTGAAGAGCAGAAAGTAATCAGATAGAACTTATCTGCTAGGTTTTATATCAATTAATTAATCATTACTGTCTTGTGTATTTTGGTTTGTTCAGTGACCAAAAGTAATTAAAGACGAGTCCTAGTCTTCACTAATAACACTTTCCTTCAGAAGAAGTGATGATAATGAATTTTCTACTAATAAAGTTTATTAGGAAGTAATACTGAAAATAAAGATACCATCTGTTTTTGGAATGGAATGGAAGTCATTGTATTAGTTATGAGAAAGTTAGAACTTAATTTTCCTTCTTAATTTTTTTCTTCCATCTAAAGAATGGTTCTAATGATTCAAACATTTCCTCACTTCAAGGTTCTATCGAAATATTCTGCTACATATAAAATAAGCAATACTTTTTTAATTGTTTTGGCCTTTATTTAAAAGAATGAGTTTTGCTTCAATAAAATAAAGTTTGTTAAAAAATTTTAAATTGTCAGTGAAAGTTACATTGACTGGGTTGAAATTGAAAGTAATATTTTTTTGTTCTCACATGTCTTTTGTACATTTCTTTAAATTCAAAATATCCTTCTTTGATTTTCCCTATTATCTTTAGTTTTGAAAGAGGAATAAGAATTCCAGTGGTTTTAATGTCCTTAAGGAAGTATATTAGTATTATTTCCTTTACATGGCAGAGGAGTGTATGATTCATTCCTTTGACTTGTTGAATGTGGGACCAATGTACAAGTCAAAAAGTGAGTATGAATTTTACACTTAACTGCAATAAAGCAGTGAAAAAGTTTCATGAATAATCAATGAAAAGAATAATGTTGAAGCATAGAGAATAAGATTAAACATTTTTAAATTCAAACAGCAGAAACGTTTGTTGGGTACAGAATGTTCTTTTCTCCGAAATAGAAGTCCATTTTGTACTTTCAGAAATTAATGAATACAGCAAAACTCCTGTTACAGTGTTCTATATTATCCATGTAAGCGTAATTCTCTTGTAATGAAGTTTTGCTGTAGTTTCAACAGATTGAAATAAAGGATGGACGACTAATACTAAATAATCTTTTATACTGCTTAGTTTCTTATTTATGAGATAATTATTTTTTCTCAGATTTTAATGTAATTTTTATTGAGAATAGTGTATTTCATCTCAATATGTTTGTGGTCAAAAGAGGCAAATTATACTATTCCAGAGTTTACTTGTGTGTTACTAATTAAATAAAATGTAGCTTTGTCCCCAAAAAAAGAAACCAAATTTTCTTACATTCTTTCACTTAACAAAGTTAACCAACTGCAACTTTGTGAGAAATATGGTAGAATAATGACATTATTCCAAGGTATTTGACATGGAAATAAAATGGTGTAATGTTCTACTGCATATTTCATTATGTAGATGTGTCATTTAAGGCACATTCTATATCTATGAGGAAGATTTGCGGAAGTAAGAGAGCTGAAACGTAACATAAGTGTGTATATTTAAGTTACATGTGGAACCAAAGAACAGGGCAATTCTGACCTTGTAATTTTTAAGAGTACAACCTTCATTTTTAAGACTTCATATTGAATGTCATCATTTGCCTTTATGTAATAGAGTTTATAGTGGATGTCCATAAAATAAATATTGAATGTGATATGATCTCTTTTCTTGGTGATTACCATGTTCATTCAGTATTTTAATTTTACAAGAAGTTTGAGGTTCTTATTCTTACTGTCTTACTCTTCAATGCTCACAGAATGTTTTTGAGATAATTGCCTATATTTAATTGCTCTTAATATATAAAATTTGATTGATTATTTTGATTTAAAACCATTTTTGTGAAACAGTTTTCAAATGTTCTTGAAAGTAGTAATATTTAACTTGTATGTTACAAGTGGTTTCAAAAAATTATTTTATGTAACTTCATGAACTTTTTATTTTGAACTAAAATCAAGTAAAGTTGATTCTTTTTTCAAGCAATGTAATAACAAAACTATCTCAAAATAATTGTAAGGACACTCCTCCCACCAACGATAATATGTAAAATATCATGGGAGTGCCAACATGTTCTAATGTGTGTAAAACAGGGCAGCAAGTTTAACATATATGGTGCATTAATTCAGCTTGAGCTATTTGCTATAGCATGTTTCTAGGCAAGATGGTGCCTTCCAATGATTAAGTTTGTTCCAGTGGGTGGGTAGAAAATATTATCAACCCTTTGAACAAAAACTTGAAGAAATTTGTAGTCTTCCTTCTTTGTTAGAACATTCATTAAAAATGTTAAGGAAATCATTTAAATCTAACCATTAAACACATGCAGTGTTTCTAGTAAAGTAAAACTGTTCCAGCAAAGAATACAAAATGTTTGGTTACAACATCCATCCATTTGGGCTGTGATGGTCTACAATAATTAAAAATGTTTATTTACATCTACTTGCTGTTTTCTTTTTCCCAGTACCTTGGTCAATTTTTACATCCTGGACATTATAGGATCCAAAGAGGTCGTTGTTCATAACCAATTTATCATCCCATGCAGATTTTAAGAATAACAATGTTCTTAAATCATAAAAACATCATTTTCACTCAATGCATGCTGCTTTCCATGTTTTGACAGATTTTAAAATATGTACTCCATTTGTCAAAAAGCAGTCATTCTAATTGGAAGAAAATCAAACTATTCTCAGGGTTAAAAAAAAATGTATTCACATTTATAAAGTAATCTAATTACTAACATACATATCAAAATTATCAATCTAACATCTTTACAAGTTTATATTTAAAACTGTTCATATAAGTATTTTATGAAATGTGTTTAATTCATAAAACAATGTTGATATGACTGAATATTTTTAAATTCAAATATCAAGTATTGTATTTGAAAATTAAATAATCAATCCTGTTTGTGATTGAAATATTTTTTCATTGATGTATGTATCCTTTGCAAAGGGAACACTTGGAGTCATTTGCTGAAACTTAAGTGTAAGAATATTCCTTCTTCGGAGCCAAGATATTGAAAATGCATTGGCCAAAGAAATCTCGAGAAAAAATTCCATTGCACCCCTTTTACACATTTTCCAAAATTCAAGAGAATCTATATCTCCATTTAATAAAATTTGATAGTTTTGAAACAAAGTTGCAAAAATTTCTTCACTCGTTTCAATATTTCTACTTGCAAAATATTCTGAATAGGTTGTGACAGCATAGTATTCAGGACACAAGCTTGTTAACTTGCATAACCCAGATCCAAACCCCCCAGCAAAACAGAATTTTTTTTAACATGGCTGTGTCCTATGAAGGGAAGTCCTGGTGATGCTTACTCAGCCTCCTTTTAAAATAATTACCAATATTTACTGGCTTTATTAACAGTTAATATTGGGCAAATATGTGCATGAAGCATGGTGCTTGCCACACCACCTCTATAACATTACTGAGATCTCCAACGACCTGTTCCATGTACAAAGGTCCCCGGAACTGGAGAAATAAATGGTGTCAAAAAAGGCTAACTTGAAAATGGGAGTACTCTAATCTCCTCTAACCCTAAGATGTGGTTCTAAATCTAGTACAGAATTGTAAAAAATACCGAATTTGACTGCATTTAAAGTCAACTCATATTTACTGTATACTTTGATTTAAACATAGGTTCATAGTTCAGTAAATTAGCTGTTACAATGTCATCCAATTGGGAGGCTGAATTTCATCATTGTGACATAAAAGATCCCGATTGGATGACTCCGTAACAACTGAAGCTCTAAATAAATTGAAATAGGAAGAAACTACATTTTTAAGAATAAGCATCTTCACAGCAAAATTATTTTAATTCATAATTAGAAATATTAAAATAAGTCTATTTTTAAACAGATACCATTTACAATTTATCACAAATTCTCCAAACAAGGCTCATTCCTTGGAACATTTTTAGCATCAACAACTGAATTAATAAAAACCAATAAATACAAGATATATTTACAATGAAAAATTGTATTAGTAGAAACAATAAAAAAGATACACAGGGCTACTTGTTAAGTCTTTTATATCACAATACACATCAACAAAATCTATGTAAGTCCTAATCTTTGTTTCTCTTGGTCCCACTGAGACAACTTAATTGAAATACATTCTGGCCCAGAAATAAAAGGGTGAATAAGAGGTACAAAGAAGCATGATCATTTACAAGTATGTAATTATAAATAGCTATTGGTAAGGAAAGCTCATTTGTGAATAATCAGATATTTCTGGAATCGTGCAGTAATTAAGGAACATCCACAAGGACAGTCTCTGAACAACCGATAACATAAGGCAAAATGTAATAAATTGGTTTAATATGGATAATTATTAATAATTAATCCTGAATGTAATGATGTGTAGGAAAAATGTGTGTGTGATGTATTCCAAACATCCTGATAACCCTGAAAAAGAGTGATGAAAAAACACATGCATCTATTGCTTTAATAATCTCATTGAATCATAAAATTCTTGGAAATAAAAAACAACTTGCTGTCTACAAAGTTATTTGTAAATGTGAGAAAAATAGGAAAGCAACGTGTTAACAATATATTTAATCAAAGGAGCCCAAGAGAATTGGTACAATACATAAAAACAATTTTTCCCCCCATTTCATTTTGTCATTGAAATAAAATAATTTAAATGGAGAACTAATTATACACACCTAAAAAGTGACTTTTTATTTAATACTTATTTTTAAACAACTTCCAGTGGTAAAGGTGACACAATGGCATGCATGCACACATGCCATGCTTTCCTTATATTTCCCTGACACTTCCGTGACAACCTCAAAAAACGTTCAATTTATCTACTTTTATTTAATAAGCATTTTTAACATTAAATTTTAGTAGATACATTTATTTTCCATTTAAAAGTGAAATTAGGTTCCAGTGAAATAGTTTATTTACTCTTGAAATAAAGTAATTTGAAGAAACCTCAAAAGTTTGTCAAAGAGTAGCAATTTTATTCCTGACAGTTCCATAAAATCTGACGTCGGGGTCAGCCTCACAAGACACTCTGCTACGCAACACAAACATGATGCTTAAACATCTCGTACTCTTGAAGGTGGTATACACTATAAGTGCAACAGCTATCCAAGCCAATTCTAAAGTATTTTGTTTACTATTAACACAGTTGATGAGTTGCCTACTTCATATATTTTGAAAGTATCATAATATGGTTACAGTTTTTACATTTCTTCAAGTGCAAAAGAAATGCAAGTTAACATTTTGATCATTCAAACAACATATTCAACATTCTTTTAATATGAAATGGTATGGAAAATTGTTTTTTCCACAAAAATACACAGCACAGTGTATTTATTGAATATATTTTCAAATTATATTTTGCTTCACCAAAAAAATGATGAAACTAAAATGGAACTTTATTTTCAACAATTCATTCATCTTCTTCCTCCAAATGAGATAGTTTAATCTCTTTATTTCTCTTGTCAATGTCCTGTGAAGATTTATTGGATCTCTTCAACTCTTTCTTCTTGCCTCGTCCAACTTCATATTCAGGCATAACCAATTTAGAATTTTTAAACAATCCCTTTTCTTCATTGGTGCCTTTTGTACTATCTTTGGTGATAGAAGATTCCTCGCACTTCTTTTTGAGTTTAAATTCTATTTTAACAGATTCTTCACTATTCCCTTCCAGGGATTCATTTTTCCTGCTCGCAAGCTCCTGCAAGAATGCCATGGCTGTAGCTGTGTTACTGCGTTCTGACATTTCATCATTAGAAACATCAGCCAAACTATACTTAGTCCATCTGTCAGGATGTCTTTGATAATCTGGAATATCGCGTGCTTTAAATCTTGGAGGCAACATTTCAGGTCTTTTGAAAATACTTTCTTTCCCTCTAAAGGGCTTGGTCTCTTTTCTCTTCTGCCGTGAGGTAACTGGTAAAACACTTCCATTATTTTCTGGAAGTTCGGATCCGTCAGACCAATCCGTTGAAGAATTGAGGTTTTTTTCTTTATCAATTAACGTAAGCTGATCAAATATATTCTTCTGTCGATCTTTGAAAGCATTATCACTACTTTTAACAAAAAATGATGAGTCGCTGTGACGTTTACTCATAGTATTTTACAATACTAAAGTCAATTCGTATGTACGAAAACACACGCAGCTGTACACGTATAAAACTACGTCGTATACTCAACTCAAAAATAAATATTAGTAAAAGTAAACTGACACTAATGAAACTCAGCTAGAACCATGGCAAACCGCGTCTAACCACAACTATGGCCTGCCAAGGATCGAACAGAGATTCAGCTATACACTTAGCTATACAACGTGAAACAAACACCAAACCACGACCACAGCCTCACTATTATATCACAATGACAAGGACTGCTCAATTACTCCATAATCACGAAATGGGCTTCTGCTTCCCATTCGAAAGGAAGACGATGAAATTAGTTTCCATAGATCACCCTAGTTTTGACCAGGGCCGGTTCACTCAATGTTAAAAGGCGGGGGACCAATTTTACTCTACCAAGTATACTCTTTGCGGGGGACTAAGTTTGTTTCCTCAGTCATGGACCTGGTGCAGATAGCGCAGCTGTTGCGTATTGGCGCGCATTTTCAAAGTACAGTTGTGCGGAATGGTTGTGGTGCGTGTAGGGAATATCCATGAGTATTATCTGCTTTTCTTATGATTTACTACAAAGAATTAGTTATATATATATATATATATATATATATATATATATATATATATATATATATATATACACACACACACACACATACACATACATATTACATATAAACACAACGATACACCATTTTATTTATGAACATGTCTATAAATTAATATTCATAAAACCAAAATTAGCATTGAAATTCATCATCATCATCTACAGCAGGATAAGAGGAATGTTCCTGTTTAAGTTGACAAGTATCACAAGAATTAATATTCTAGAAGTTTCCTGCATTTCCAACTGTTTCTTTTATCACTCTGTCCCAATGGTTTGTTTTTCAGAAGAGCCATTAGGAATCTTCCTTAACTCTTAGTAAATTCCAGCCCTTTCTAGAGTCTATTCAACTTTCTTTGTTGTTTTGTTGTCTTTTTCATTGTTTCTCTGTGGATACAATTCATGAAATCCAAAATGATGTTCCAAGGTCAGGATGTAAGATAATTGAAGATTATAATTTAAACAAATTGACATAAAATAATTGAACTGGTATCAACATTCCAACAGTTAGAAAACTGGACCAATATTTCATTTTTGTTTCCTATTATTGATATGAATTTACGAAATAATGAGACATTTATACCATTTTTTCCGTTTTTCTTCTGTGTATTCACGTTAAATATTCATTAAAAATTGTTATATGTAACCAAGACATTATTTAATGGTCTACAAATTCCTATTTATTGGGCAGAATGTAAATTTTCTACTATAAAAATTATCTCTTCTATAGAAGTGAGGTTCTGTCTCACCTATTGTATAAAAGTGTGCATATTTGATTAATTTTATTAGTACATACAATTTTATGAACTCTTATAGTATTTCATACATAATTTATCAATAGAGTCTTGGCGATTTATGCTTTTCAACCATCGTTCATGCATCTGCTGATTTTTGGGGAGCTTATGAAAGGGCATCCTCCAAGAAATTGAGCACCCTCTTACAGAACATTTACCCACCTTCTGCAAATAATACAATTATATAAACTGTGTAATTGATTTAAGTCTTTATCTGTATAACTTCTTTTTTCAAATATTTGAAATTAAAATATTTTCACATATAAAAAATTGCTAATATATGAATACCAGTATTCTGATATAAAATTTGTAAAACAGAAATGAAGTACATATGTGGATTTAAATATGTAATGTATTCTACAATAAAAGGAACAAGAGCAAAACAAATCTTATTCTTCAATAATTCATTTTGTTAACCAAGGTATTCACTATTTCATTATACCGAAAATAATATATTTGTGAGTTGAATTGCTTCAAATGACTTCAAATGAAGTTATTGAAAACTCAAAAAAATTCTGTGAAAAGAGCTTCAAATTTCAAATTAACAATGGCGCTTAAACGCTATTTTCATAGAAATGACTGCTAATGAGTTTTTACTGTCCTTTAATATCCATAAAATAATATTTCTGCTCTAATATTAGGAAACCGAAAACTAAAGAAAATTTCAAAAAAATGTACTTTGGGTGGCAATAGATGGTAGCTGGCAAGAGTATATGGCACGTTCGTATAGCTAACCATGACCAAAGGAAATTGAAAATTAATTCGGGAAGCACATTTACTCAAATACAATAGTGTTAACACATTTTTGGAAATGTGCATTTTAACAGCATGAAAGATCTTTCAAAAAAATTATATTTGTGTAACTTTTGAAAAAAATACTCCATAATGGACTAACGTCATATTAAAGAATGCAATTAGCATTATCCAATCAAAAAGTTTGAAGAAAATATTTGGAGCCATTTGTGAGGATATGGCGTTTGAGTTTTTCTGAAAGTGCAGAATTTTGAGCTAGGTTTCACAGAATTTGAATTTTCTAGAAACTTTATCTGACATTAGTTAAAGCACATGTACTCATAAATATAATAATGTAAACCAACCGCCACTAATACAAATATTAACGACGTGAGAGACAAGTAAAAATAGCATACATTGTTGTAATTTTTGACAGCACAAAAGAATAGAGCAATGTGATGTTTATGTCATATTGTAGAGTGCATTTAGCACTGTCCCGACCAGAAGTTTAAAAAACAATTTGGAGCCGTTGTTGAGAACATCTTGTTTATGGAATTAATTAAATATTGCACGCAATATTGCGCGAAAACTACAGGAATTTTCAAAAAAATGTAGCTTGAAATGGAGAACAAACTTCATTAAAAGGAAAAATATGTATCTTCAATTTTGTATTTGTAGGAAGACGTCGCAAAAAATTGATACTTTCGAAATGTTCGAAAATTCACAGTCAACCTTGAAACTATGACCTATGCCGCTTGTATAAGTGTATTTTACTCTATTCTTACAAGAAATTTAAAGAAAACATTTGGAGCCGTTTTTGAGAAAGTTTTGAAAATGTCCGTGGGGCTTCGAGGCCGTCCAAGGCGTTAGTGTTGTTCACATACACCAGTTGGACGGATGTTTTGAAAAAAAAACAAACAACAACACTTTTTCGGTATCAGGGGGCCCCAAAATGTGTATTTCCGTTGAGATATCGAAATCAATTTTTCCGCAACACTACATAACTTTCTCTACACTACGTGTATTACTCCGTATATACGTACGTATATGGGAAAGTAAAAATGCAATCATCAACTCTTTTGTTGTCTTAGTAACCAGTACTAGTCAGGACCAAGGTAACGAGTGTAAACATTTTTTTAGCAGTTATACACTGTTAACGGTGCTTTTGATATTATGATTTAAACAAAAGCAGTTGAATTTAAAATATTCAGATTTCAAGATAACTATTTTAAATTAAATTATTCAATACAATGGGCTTCTTTCTTCATTTACGTCTTATTATGTGGAAAAACTTCACAATAAGGAGAAGGCATAAGGTAATGAAAATCCAAAGTGATTTTCATCCGAAACTACGTGTGTTGTCTGTATCTAGTACATTTTCTATCTTTCAGATTCGCTGTATAGTTGATATACTATGGCCATTGGTTCTCTTCATGATGCTTGTTGCTTTGCGTATCGTTGGATTGAAAGAAAGTGTCCCCGAATGTAAGTTTCCTATTAATATTTTTGTCGGTGATTAAGGTTCTAGAAAGTAGTTTCAATAGAATTACCGCTATAATTTATGTTAAGGACTATTAATTAATTTTTATATTACAGTTATTGCAATATTTCTCATACACCGATATTTCATGCAAGAGCATTTGCACTTAACGTTTAAAAAATTCCGTATGTTGCTTGCTTACTGTTTGCTGTTGATGATTGCTTTGTTGATTGATACTGAGTGACTGATGAAGATTGTTTTCAACATTTTATAAATGTTTAACGATAGGTCTGCAAAGATAACTGGCACAAATTCAGTGCAATTGCAATGTTAGAAAATGATAAATGTGAAAAAAATTATGTACACAGGCGTCTTTGTAATGTTTTTTTTTCTTTTTACTTGGAGCTTTGAATACATGCATTTCGATCCTCTGTCACGTTCCGCAAATGAAGCCAATCCCCCATATTGGTGTGCCCAAAACATGTCTGTCAAACACGATAATAAATCGCGCAAGTTTTCTTGAATGATAACCTTGCTTCCTCCTCTCTGACACAATAAACAGTTGAAGACAAAATCTCGCTGGGTTCACTTACGACATTTCAAACAAGCCTTTACTGGCACGAAATAGAAACTATTTTCTGTTGAAGACGAGAACTTCTGTCCGTGATTTTCTCCAAAAAATCGAAAGAAATGACCGAAGCAGGTGAAGATCCTTCACAGGAGATACCTCGAACTTCTGAGAAAGTTAGAATGCAAATTATAGAGAAAGTTGCGAAGGCATGACTGATTCTCCAAAGATTGGCATTACTTCATAAAATCTAGTGGCTGATTACGTACCTAATATTCCCACTCTACCTGCGTTTCTTCAATCCGTCGTTCAAGAAAAATTGCGCGAGTAATACCCATTTTTCAATGGAATTTAATAATATTTGGAATATTGAAGTAATTAAAACGGAGAAGCTTCATTTCATATTGTGAGATAATCGTAAAGTATTTTCAGCGCGGGAAAAAACCCTCAAATTTTAAAACGTCAAGAATACAGAATACTACATTATTAAATGTGCTACTTCTGTCTTTGAGATCTCTCACAAAAAGTATGCAAATAAATAAATCTTAACGCAGATAACATTCTGAAGGAGCATGTGATGTGTTGTCACTATAATCGAAGTCTAGCAACCACACCAACTAAATTATTAAAAAAAGAAGCACAGTCTTACTGTACTGTAACGGTTTGTTTCACAATTTCCTTCCATTGAGTATTTTCATATGAAGTCAAAAGAGCAGATCCTGAAATTTAGAGTATGTAGATGGGTCAATTGATGTCAACATTGTGCAACAGTTTCGTGTTTCTTTGTAGAAGACATAAAAAATAAT